ACACTTTCGAATGTCGCAGAGATCTGAGATAAACAACAACGTCCCAGTATATTTTAACCCTTAATTCGATGGTGTCCAGTGTGAAGAACAACTAATTAAAAAAAATCTACTGAACTAGTTTAGAGAAAATTACGTAAGTATGACTTTACTAAAACAAAAACAGTTTTTTTTGCTACAAAAAATTTCGTCGAATTAAGGGTTAGGCATGATTTCCACCAAAACCACTACACATAAGACAGTACCATATAGATGAACACTGATACCATTAGAAGTTTGTAACACCTTTTACCTTCACCTACAGAGGATCGGCATAGTACGTACTCTTTCATGCATCTATAACAGCCGTCATATCTATTCTCACTCCCTTCTTACGCATATACTGTTTCCTGTTATCCTGTTCTAAACAGTATGATCAATACTTATTTAGCTAAATACACTTTTTATTATTTACTAAACCTTATTAATAATATAAGAATTTAGACTGTATTGCTTGTATATTTAAAGTATCATTTAGCTTAAAATAAATGTACGAGCCGGTAAAGCCCAAGTGGCATAGAACATCCACACCTTTCACTAGCTAGTCAGCTCTTGCGTCACTCCGTTTGAGACGTCAAGAGTTCACTCACTCTGCTTGTTGCGACATCACATTTGAAGTAACACAAAGGAGTATTTTGTTCTTTCGCAATACAAACCAAAACTATTAAAGCTTTAAAAGTTCTTCAAATATACTGATGTCATTTGTTTTTTTGTACGACGTAAGCTAGTTTATGTGTAGGCATTTCAGTGCCAAAATTATTTACTACAAGTTTCTTCTTCAAAATATATCGTTTATTTTATGTACCATTTACTTATGTTTGTCTACTTTTACTCTTTTTTATATATATAATAGAAAGTCGTGTTAGTTACACTATTTTTAAGTAATTTATATGGCTGGAAATTGGTGAGGAGGTAACTTAGAGCCAGGAGACGAACATAGGATACTATTTTTTTTCCAATTTATGCCTCGATGAACTGCTTTTTATTTAACTTACTAATATTATAAATGTGAATATTTAGATGGATGTGATGTGGATGGATGGTTGGATGGGCTACACTAATTTAGTTTTTTTATATATCCACGCGGACGAAGTCGCGGGCGATAGCTACTTTGGCATAAATTTAGAATATAACCTAGAAGAATACATAGGCTACCAATTAAGTTTTTTTAATTTCTTGCGGACAGAGTCATGGCCGAGAGTTAGTGTAAGAATAGTCATTTAATCGCTTTGTTATTTATTTTATTAAAGACATTAATTAAACGCCATCATAATTTTAATCATAATTATTATATTATTTTTCTATTATTTATAAATAAATAGATATGTAAATATTTTTTAAATTACGATGTGTCTTGCGTGGGATTGAAGTGAGGATATTACGTAAGCTATAATCATTCCATTGTATACATGATAATCATTTACTTTCTCCACAACTTCGTACCAGTTGGTTTGTGTTTCGTTCCTTATTGTAAATGTAATGACGCTACGAAATGTGCTATAGACTATTATAATTGTTCTAAAAGGTGTATTGTTAATAATAATCACAATTATTCCGCCGTCAATACTTTAAGTCTATCCAGTGTCGTTGTTTGATGGATCAACAAACTGGAAATATATTTTTAACCGCCAAAACTAAACACAATGATTGTGCTAAATCTCTGACAAATCAATCATAAAATTTCACAGTTAATTAACCGATTCAAGAAACAAAAAGTTGTTAAACTAGAATCGATTTCCTTGATTACATACATCTGTGTGCTTTATTGACATCGATTGTTTTATTTTCTGTTCTGTGATGTATTAAAACCGCTAAAATTAAAAAGGTAATAATACCCTGCATTGATTGCATCCTAATGTAACATATTAACGATTCGTCACGTGCCCCTCTGACACGTCGATACAGCATCGATATTCCGGAGCTGTGCGCTGCGCATGCGTCCTCGCGCCACTTCGCGCCGGGCTTTCCCGCGCATTCCAAATCACGTTGCAAACTCATCGCTATTTTTTAATTTAAGAGTTACACATTACAATTAAACAAGAGCCTATAATAATATGCCCGCGTGCATCAGTCTTCGCCGCACAAACACGGATTTGTGGACAGACAGATAAAATTTTTCAAAATTGTATTTTCCTTATAAGTAACACAAAGTTCGCATAATATGGATTATTTTAAAACACTTCAATGTTATTAATTGCATAGAGCTAAAGTACTTTCACATATCAGTTACAAATATTTCGTTATTTTGCTTTGTTCGATTCGATTTCCCTCAGGACTAATTTTAGATTTCAAGGAGTGATTTAAATCCGCACAAAGCCTTCTAAAATATTTGCAAAATCCCGAGTAAACTTCAACATCGCCCGTAAATAAGACCCGAGAGAAAATTATTTCAAAATATTTACGCATTTGCCAGTTGCTTGCGGCTCAAAAGATTTGTGTCCTTTGCCTTTCGCTCGCAATACCGCGGCGCAGAGATTAATTGGGGCCTTATTTTAATTTTGTACATTCTATTGTCTCGAGAGGCAAATATTATTCGGCTGTTTGATATAAACATACTTTATAACTACATATTTTATTTTAATTAGAGCAAAATATATTTAAACTTAGTATAGTAAGATAATAGTTTTCAGCGGCAAAGATGTTATTAAAATTAAAAACCTTTTCTTTTGTGCTTATGATTTTATAATTAAACTTTGAAATAAACTCGACAGGCAAAAGGTATTTTTATTACGCCATTTTAACCTTTTTATACGCTCTTTGATAAATTAATAAATGTGCTTACTTCTAAAAACGATAAAGATGTTGATAGCAGACGATTAATCAAAAACATCGAGGTAAAAGCCTCGCCTCGCCCATTAACAGTCCATAGATAATAAAGTGGGTTATGTACTTATTATTAAAATACGTAACGTTTAATAATAATACAAAGATTACCTAGTCTTACCGTACATTCGTCACAAAACATTACGACGTATCGAGTAAACCGAGCCTTTGTGAAATCATATTTTTTCTTATGTTACGGTTAAAGAAATTCGTTATAAAATATCTATGAACAAGACTTGTTATAAAGCGATTCAAAACTTTCAGCCTAAATAAGTCTTCCAATAAATTTATGACTAAAGCACTGGCAGAGGTATTAGACTAATAAATTTCCAATTACCTAATAAATTTAAACGCAGCATCGTCGATAGGGCACGTACTTACAAGTGGCCACTTAACCTAAATTCGTTCATAGCTGAAACGAGCGTAATATTCATTACATGATTTATTTTGAAGTAATAATATATTAGAACAAATGACCTGATCACAATCTACTGTATAAGAGAAAAAATCTACTTTTTAAAAAAAAACATTTAAAAGTGGAATCTAGAAGTTAAAAACACATCAAAGAATTCTTTTTTGTATTTTACAATGCATTAGATTTCTTTTCGGCCAGAAAAGTTTGTTTGCTTTTTTAGAACATCCTTCCCAAGGTTCATTAATATTTGAAAGTGTCACTTACCACCTCGATGCCCCGTTCAAAGCCGACTGTCTGGTCACTCTTTCGGTGTCAGTCGAGTCAAATAAGTCACTGTCATACAGACTAAACACGCCAGCAATGCTGAACTCCTGCTACATCCGATGCACCACTTCCCGTAAGTTAAGCGTTATAGAGGCGTTGTTATCGGACCGAACTGATAAATGAAATTAGCGACCCTGTACGCTAGAAAATTGACACTACTTCCGACGACTTCCATTGCTGAATTTCAACTCTTTTCGACTGGCGTCGACTCCCGTCCTTCCCCACACACTCCGCAAGTCCCGTGCCCTACCGTATCTGTGTGGGAATTCAGGACTACCCGCTTGTACGGGAGAATAAATATGACTCCGACCTACCTTCCCTAACCTTTAAACCGCCAAGCTCAAAATGTCATTTACATGACGTATCGCAATGCATCTATACCGAACAATCTATAATTGTAGCTTTCAAAGGCCTGTTATATATTGTTCCATGTTCAAATTAGTTTTATTATTTAACCTCGAATATAATTAATGAAATAACATAATTTATTACAAGGCCGATTTCCAAACAAGTGAGCCTTACAATCTGTAACTAACAATGAATCACGTCGCAAAACTTCATACAAATATAGCTTTGGAACATTAACTGAATATTAAATACGTTAACATGTATATAAAATATTGCTGTCTCATTTTTTTCAAATGGAGTGAAAAGGATGACACATTGTTTTTGGTCGTATGTTTCAGCAATCGAGTTACAGTTAAAGAACAAAGCCACAGATTGTCTATGGTAAATTCCTTTGTTTCTCTTTTGATCAATCTCAAAGGTATTTTCAATAATACTGTTTCATTAATAAAAATTGAAGTGTCTGTATGTAACATTGAACACATACATTTCGCGAAAATGTTGTATCTGCGTACCTGATAACGAAAAACTTTTGTCCGTCTGTCTGTGTATCTGTTTGCAAGATCGTGTTTGTTGCGGGTAATCTTCGAAATAGTTTGCCCGGTTTTGACTAATTTAAAAAAATCACTGATAGTATGTTTAACGTATGAAATAATAATACTGGCTGAAAAGACGATTTTTTTATGATTAAAAAAATGTTTCTACTTAAAAGGCCGGTTTCGTTGAAAAGTTACATAAGATTCATTACGCTAGTTGGTAACGACTGTATTCTTTCTTTGTACTTTCCTTTCTATTTCATTAGCAATGTCATGCTTTACTTGTTATTTTTATACAATTGTTTATAAAACAAATCTTTTTATAACTTTATGTTTGTAAAATCACGACATGACTTTAAAGTCATGTCGTGATTTTAAAGTTTAAACTTTTTTACATCTAAAACATCCAACGTTATTTCCGTAATTTTAATGTCTTTTGAAAGTCATGGGATATTTCAGTTAAAACAGACATTTAAGTATTATAGTATAATAAGATCTCTATATGTTTATGTTTGTTGCAGTGCGCATAGAGGTGATGCCGGCATGTCAACGCGCGCGGTGAGAGCGGCGCTGCTCTGCGCGTGCGCATTGCTTCTGCAATATGGTACGTTCAAATACCTTAATTGACTTGATTTAGTGGTTTTAAAGAGATCCATAGTTGTAGAGATCTTCATGGCTTCTATTTAATTTCTCCTTTACATTCTTATAATTCTTCGTTTAATTTTATGCAGTTCGAAGTAATTTCAAAAGACAAAAGCGGTTTTTAACTGTAATTATTTGTTTCAATTTGTCGTATCGCAAGTAAGATCTTGAAATTGAATCGAATGACTCATTAATTCGAATTCCGTCGTTAGTACTTTCCTTATCCCGAACTTAAGACAAAGGATAATTAAATCTGAAATTGCCAAGTTCTCGGAACGAAACTCGAAGCACGGTGTCAACCATTAGCGTAAATCTTGCCGCGACAAATTTATGTTCTTTGGTATACAATAATTCACGCCAAGAATTTATATTTATCAATAAAAGTTTGCTGATTAGATGTACAATATAAGTTAATTTGTTCAGTTATTTTAATTAAAGTGTATGTGCGGCCTGTTACGAAATTATTAGGGTTAACGGTAATAAAATATAAACATTTGAAATACTGACAACGACAGGTCTTCCTCGACCCTAGGAGGACCCCTGCGAATCTCAAGTCTAAATATTACTTTCTACTACAGCTAGCGCCGAGCTGCGAGGCAGATGTCCGGCTGAAGGAGGAGCATGTCCGGCGCGCGCTGCGCCTTGCAGCGTAGACGATGACTGCGGGGAGAAGATATGCTGCAACACAGCCTGCGGCCGCGCCTGCGTTGACCCACTCTACACCGGTCAGTTATCACATTCTAAACACAGTTAAAATATACAGAGTGTACTCCGATCATAGCTTAGACGTTAAATTAGAAAACGTTGAACTAAAGAGGAATCTTCGCCGGATGTTTTTGTTGAGGGGTTACTTTCCGGTTCCTCCTTTCGTACTTCTTTTTAGAGAGGGTGCGATGATGATGGTTAAAAATAAATAATGTAAGAATTATTTTATTACATTTCTCTCAGGCTGCGAGAACATCAAGATGTCATCAGAACGAATCTCCCGCGCATTACAAGCTGAGAACAGCCGCAGCGGGCGAAGCGCGCCCGGGGTCAGAACACCGAGGTGCCGGGCTTCCGACGGGGAGTTCGAGCCAGTGCAGTGCGACAATGAGATCGTCAGCGCCTGTTGGTGCGTCGACACTGCCGGCTTTGAGGTAAAGTGTAGATGCATCTCTCATCGTCATCATTAGAAACAATGCATGATAGATGTGCCTGACACAATAAATATCTACTAGTTGGTCAAATTTAGTTTTAAATTCGGTCATATAAATAATAAGAAAACAATGGTTGATGGATTGTTATTCCAGATTCCAGGCACGCGAGCACCGGCAGCATCGCTGGTGAACTGCACGCAGCAGGCGTCGTGCGCGGCGCACACGTGCCGCATGCTATGCCCACTTGGCTTCGAGCTGGACCAGCGCGGGTGCCCGCTGTGCCGCTGCCGTGACCCCTGCGCTGGCGTCACCTGCCCCTCACAGCTCGCCTGCCAGCTCGAGGAGATGGACTGCCTCAAACCGCCTTGCCCGCCGGTTCCTACTTGTATGTTATTTACTTGCCATACTGCGGCACTCAGTCTTTTATTTTTCACTAAAAGAGACCCGTAGTTTTGTTTTCTCATACTAAATATTCACATGAGTCACATGTCTGCGTGAGGCAGTTTGCTAAATCCCTAGCCAAAGATATTTAGTTATTTCAATTGGTCAGGTAAACGTGGAAGAAGTCTACAGAATATCTGCCCCGCGGGCGAGCCATTACTGATCTCAGAGACCAGCCGGCCCTTCCTATGCGGCACCGACCCCGGCAAGCCCAACTGTCCGCCACTCTACAGATGTCTGGTAGAGCCAGGTAATACACAATATTTATACAGCAATACAACTACTTAAATGTAATGAAATAAATTGTTTACAAATATTTAAACTCTACTAAAGATGAGCTACTGTACTACAGTTACTCGCGTCATCTATGTAGAACCGATCTGATCATTTCTCTAATCACCCATTGTTGTAAGTCTTACCTAATTTAATATACGTAATCGAAACAATGACACATAAACGTACAACTACCGACCACCTAGTCTAGTTGACTAGACTAGACGGCTTGTCTTTGTTTTTATGTATAGAAAACCATTGTGTCCATTTTAACCAGTAGTTTGCAAAATAAAATATTGCACGTTAGCGTTAAAAATATATTTCTTCCAGGTAATGACTACGGAGTATGCTGTCCTGCATCTCTGGAACTCCAAAAAGCTGGTACCTGCCCTACTGTGGATCCCACCGCGGAATTAGAATGCGGCACTCCTTGCGCACATGATCTGGAATGTCCCTCAATGCAGAAGTGTTGTGATGGAGGGGAGTGCGGCCGACACTGCAGCCTCCCACACAATGTAACCATGTGTACTCAGCAGAAGATGTTGGCAGAACTACTGGTGGTCAGTGAGAAAGAAGGGAGGGGATACGTACCGCAGTGTGGGGAAGATGGAGCGTTTATATCGAGACAGTGTTCCAGAAATGGACTTGTATGTTGGTGAGTCTTGGTTTATTTTTAACATTTATTTGATTCTTTATCTTCTCAATGAATTTTACGGAATGTCCCTCTGTCTATATGAAAACAAATTTATGGTAATAGTAAACTATAATTTCAACTCTAGGTGTGTGGACTCCGACGGCAATAAGTTACGTGGCTCAATGGGCCCCTCGGCGTCAGTACACTGTTCGCCCGTGCCTCGCCCAGCGCGCACTGGGGCTAGGAGTCTTACCGCCTGCGCTCGGGCCCTCTGTGCCGGCGTCTGCGAGTACGGCTACAAAAGCGGCGCCGACGGTTGCCCTAGCTGCGAGTGCGACGACCCCTGCTCCGGCTATCCCTGCTCTGAAAACGAGGAGTGCATCAGGGTCAAGGATTCGGATTGTGTTGGCGAACTTTGCACTGGCTATCCTGTTTGTAAGTTGTTGACTGATAACTCCTTGAAGAATGACGTCAGGAATGGCTTCAGGAATGACCAGATCTTTCATGTATTTGTTATTGAATCAGGTCGACCGCGAGTATCGTACGAGAACCCGTGTGCAATCGGAACACCGGCGACTGACCAAGCAGGTAGCGTAATAAACTGCGAGGCGGACGCAGACTGTGTCAACGGTCACATCTGCCAGCACACGCGGCGCAGCGGTCACGCCGTATGCTGCCCTGAGCCAGCCGCAGACAACTCCACTGACACAGATATTGTCGAGGTAACATTAGACATTTAGATTTAAAAACATAAACTTTTTAAGTACACTAACGGATTGGGTTAATAGTGTCATGTTCGAAAAAGATATTACCTAAATTATCTACACCGCATAAAGCACATCAAGTGAATTGAAAATGTGAATCAGTTTCTAAATTTTATTCAGAAAAATTGGATAAAGTATATCCATATTATTTAGATAAACTTCGAAGTATGCGGTCCGGAGGTTGAGGCGCTATGCGGTTTAAATTCAAGTCATAGCTGTCCAGAGGGCGCGTGTGCAGGCGACCTGGTCTGCTGCTCCACATCTTGCGGCCCACTTTGCGTAGACCCTGACAAGCTGCGGCTACAATCTGATAGAGTAGACGATGCCCCTACAAGTGAGTGAGATGAACCGTGTGCTTTATTGCTTATTTGCTTATTGCGGATGCCATCTTCACACTTAAGTATTTGTACATTTGTTTACAAATATATTGTCTAGTAATATGGTATTATGTAAGTAGAATGGTAAGAGCTAAAATGTAACTAATCGTTACCAGTGTGCGAATATTTGCGCGACTTCGACGAGAAGATGGAGGGCACTGTGGACGGAATGAAGCTGGCTCTGCCGGCGCCGAGCTGCGCGGCGGACGGCTCGTACCGGCCGCAACAATGCGCCGCCGGCCGCTGCTGGTGCGTCGACTCCTTCGGCACAGAGATACCCGACACCAGCACAAATAATGCTTCCTCGATAGATTGCGAGAAGTGAGTTATCTCTTATGACCTCCTCCTCCTCCTATATCCACTTCTTTTCTTTATCTAAGCGCTTCATTGTTTACGCTGGCAAAATTTACTTGACTGTTTGTTGTGACAACCATTGTTATTCTCATCTTGCTATCTCTGTATGTACATATGTACACATTAAGTTGGTTAAGTACTTATAAGTCAAGATGACATTTTATAATTAAATCTTTTACCATGTAGAGTACGAGCCGAGCTGTCCTGCTTGGAGCTGACATGCCGCATGGGCTGCGACTATGGATTTGAGCTGGGAGCAGAACGTTGCCCGACCTGCCGCTGTCGAGACCCCTGCGCCGGCGTCACCTGCCCTCAGGGCCGCTCCTGCGCACTCGTAGATGTCGCATGTGACGCTGACTACTGCCCTCCTGTGCCAGCTTGTGAGTGTAACAAATATAAACTTTATTACAATTTCAATTTCACGTTAAGAGATCTCAAATAAAAATATGATACTGTGTGTAGCTGCAGTTGTCTCCCATTTTGTTCTTTTTTGAGTGATTCGTAACATGGTTTTAGAATTCTTGTAATCTTACTTAGGTTTGCCACGCAAGCCGGGGCAGTGCCCTTACTTAGTGCCAGCGACTGGCTCGTGCGAGTGGGCGTGCCGTGCTGACGCGGAGTGCGGGCCCGGGCAGCGCTGCTGCGCCACCGGCTGCGGCACCTCCTGCACTACCGCCGTCCATCTCACCGCTTGCCAGCACACCAGGTACATACAATACCACAACAAATCACACACAGACCGCGTACATGAGTCTTGCGACAGATCATGGACACGAGCCATGATGATGAGCCAAATTGCATGATTTAAGTAAACCATCAATCATAGATTTATTCGAGTAAAGCATGATAATTCCTTTTTTCACTGATTAGTACCTGTTTACAATGTTAGGGCGTTAGCTCTACACACTGCAGCTGAGAAAGGCAGCCCACCTTCATGGACGTGGATACCGGAATGTGAAGAAGACGGAACCTACAAGAGAATACAATGCAAAGAATCGGAGAAGATTTGTTGGTGCGTCGACTCGGCTGGTAATGAGGTAAGTTAAGTAGGATGATCGTGATAAGTTTTATTATTTACGATAACATATGATAAATTAATAATCCTTCGAATGTTTGCAATTAAATAATTACACGACAATCCCTAGATTCCTGGGACCAGATCGACGAACTCGACGCCAACTTGCGACGCGCCCGCGCCGTGCCCTGACCCTGGTTGCATCCAGGAGGAGGTGTGCGTGCACGGGCGGCAGCTGGACGGCCAGGGCTGTCCTACCTGCGTCTGCCGCGACCCCTGCGCCGACGCCAACTGCAGGCACGACGAGACCTGCGAGCTGGTGCCTTTGGACTGCGAGGTTTGTACCACGTTATATCCTGTTCCTCAAATTTCAAACTCAATGACGTGTTAAAAGTAGGCTTCACCAATGTATACCGAATTTATATGGAACATTTCATAAATAGCTGATATGTAAATCTGTGGTTTTCACACATTTAATCATGGGGTTCATTTTGTAGGGCGAGTCATGCGCCCCGCTGGCCCGGTGTGTACCAGAGCCGCAGTGCCCCGAGGGATCGCCGCTGCAGGCGCCGGGCGGAGGCGCGCTACTCGCGTGCGGCCCTCAAGCCGCCTCATGCCCCTCCACGCATGCCTGCCGCTTCGCCCCTCATGACCCCCAGCCCGCCGTCTGCTGCCCCAAACCAAGTGAGTTATACCTTTGTCTATTAAGATCATCATCCCCATACTTTAGGATGTTGATTTCTCCCAAAGATGGTTATAACAAAAGGTATCATCGACCCCTTAGATCCTTCATCTAGTGAGAAATAATTAGTTCTTTACCATAAGTCAAAGTTTTTAGCCCTTGAGTACTTTGTATACTATATTCAGACAGACCTGTTGATTTGTTCTTAATTAACGTACAGACTAGAAATAGCTTGGTTCAATATGCTAGCTACGAACCAATAACAAGACTTAGTGCGGCGGTACTCTCAAACCATTGTATAATGTAATTTTATAACAGGGACGGTGTGTTTCGAGAGCAAAGACGAGGGATTGTGCGAGTCTGGCGGTCTGAACGTGACGCGGTGGCACTTCAGCGCGGCGCGCAACCGCTGCGAGCGCTTCACATACCACGGCTGCTCCGGCAACCACAACAATTTCCGCACCAAAGAAGAGTGTAACGCAGTCTGTCCTGGTACGTCTCGGTACCATCATACTTAATTATAGCTTTGCCACAACTTTTAGGAGCTAATTGCCTCAGAGTTAATTGGTCACTAAGGAAGATTCCCAATGTAGATTTCTTGAAGTAAATCTACTTATAACACGCTATGCGCATTTAGTGTCAAAACATATCAGATAACTTTGTGAATATTTTAATTGGTTTTCGTATTTCATAATTTGCCTACTCTGCAGTTAATCATCCCTGTTTTATTTTAATAATGTTGCTTTTAACAGTGGAGGAGGTTACATCGAAACTAACAAAAGAGAAGAGTCGAGAAAATGTTGGCCAAAGCGGAGGCATGTCTATTGAATTTTTATATCACCCGAGCACGTGCTCACGTATGATTGTTGAAACTAATCACAAAGAAGCACGTGTCTTTAAAATTATTCGTGTGTATGAACTTAATAAAGACATTTATGATAGAGTTGTTAACATTTCGTATTGCTTTTAGAACTTTGAATGAATATTATTTGTACTTTTAATTAAGATCTTGTGTAATATTAACAAATGTTATTAAATTAACTAATAATTAGTAAAGAATTTTGTGTTGGTAGCACCAAATTATAGAACATTTTATAATCGTACAGACCGATGTAATATTACTAAAATGTAACTTCACTTAAGTATTAAGATCCACTGTATACATAAACTGGTTGCTTTTTATTGACAAAAAATAATCGCTATTATTCTGGACTCTTTTGTTTTTCTATTATATGTTTTGACAGCGGAAAATTACGGTAACATTTTCCAGCAAATCGCATTACGACACGTATATGTTTGCATAAGTAAAAGCTTCCTACTGACGGAAACGAATTATGATTTTAATATGTCCTGTTTGTCTAATTTTTTTATATTATATATTTTTAGTATTGAGTCCTTGCGAAAGACTTCGCGAAAAGAACGAGGCAGCAACGCAAAAGTACGGCAAAGGTAGTTTCATCCCCGAGTGCGACGCGGCCGGCGGCTGGCAGCCCGTCCAGTGCATGGCACATATTGGTAAATATTCATTTAATTTATACAAATCCTTGTAAGTTTACTGGTTTTGATAACAATTTAAAAATACATAAATACGTTTTAACTTTTTCAATATTTGGTTTATTGAAAGTACGCTTCCTCACATCTTTATACAATGTTTACTCGGAATTATAGCCAATATTTTCGCTAAAATAAAAACAAATCTTACAAATGGAATATATTGATAAACCGAAATAAATGAACAAAAGATTTTGTGATCCCTTTTAATTTTTCAGCAAGAGAAATACATGGTTGGATGTATATGAGTATTTTATATTTATATATTTATATCAGATGTATGCTGGTGTGTGAGCGCGCGCGGGGAGCCTCAGAAGGGGTCTTTGGTGCGCGGCGCGCGTCCCACTTGCAACTTCCGGCAAGCGCGCAAGTGGATGCGACGCGACCCCGACGACGAACGAGCCAGGGCAGACGAAGGTATTATACCAACATTATAATAATAGTTTGTCCAACACAATAATTGGTCGCTTTTTATTTATTTTTCTTTTAGATAAAAAAATTATTCGCAAGTTTTAACCCTCAAGTTGATGTCTATCTCCAAGATATAAAGACTTTTTGTTGTTGAATCAAAACAAGCACTTGTTGTAATTTTAGTGTTTTTATTTCAGTACTAGAAGAGTTGATCCGTCAGATGACATCATACAGAGTAGAAGAATTGGAAGAGGAAGATCTAGAGGATGAGATAGAGAACGAGCAGTCGAAGGAGAGCACGACGGACTCTGCTGCCGTGCTGGTGTCGGAGGTGGTGGAGCCTCGCGCATCGCAGACCACGCGTCATGACGCCCCCGTAGTTATATCAGAGAAAATCGTCTTCAAAACAAAATGTCAAGTTTTGTTGGAAGAAGCAGAGAAAGGTAAACTTCTTTACATGATATAAATAAGTAAATACAGTGTTGCTTATATTTCACGATTGTAAAACAATATGTAGTTATAGTGCAGATTAATTCATTTTTATGAGTCTTGACCTTGGCTCGTATAACATTAACCACTTCACAAATCTCTGTGAGGACCGAGAGCTTTAGTAGTTTAACAACGTTTTGCTACCATAGCAATAAATTCTCACATTCTGTTTTATCCTTCAGGAAACGAAGGGATAGAGCCACGGTGCCTATCAGACGGCTCGTTCGCGCCGCAGCAGTGTGCACGCGGCCGCTGCTGGTGCGTGGACGCGGCGGGCCAGCGCCGGCACCCGCAACCCGCCACCGCCACTTGTGGTAACTACTCACTCACATCTCATACAATAACACAGAGATACATACCCACAGCTTAATGATCTACAAACAACGTGACATATTCATAGTTGGGGTAATCCTAACTTTTATGTAACAGTAGATTCTTCTCAGTCAACTTGTATCAACTCGCTCTTTTCGCAATAGACTAGTAGCCTAAATGTAATTATTTTTTAACGTTACAGAAATGACTCAAATCGATTCAGCGATTTTGGAATTAGAGCTGGTGGGAGCGAGCAACGACGAGGGCGAGAGAGCGCGCGCGGCGCTGTCTGCGCGTCTGGCCACGCTGGGCGCGCGCGTACCCGTCTCCGTGCAACGCGACCAGCACGTGGTCCGACTGAGAGTGCAGCTTTCCGGCACCAGGGCTGCCGATATGGCATTCCATTTAGAGAATATGGTCAGCGTTACAATCCAAAACTAGAAACTCTTAAAGTGTACGAGAGTCGTTTGATCTTATTGGAGATATATTCCGTGTTAGCTTAGATTTAAACAACAGAACTTTATATTCGCTTCTGTTAAATTCGCATATACTCGTCGAGTAGAGATAATACCGTCTTCTTTATTGTATAACTTTGATGATCGTCTTAAAACAGTGTATCCAAATTGATTGTACAGGTTAAAAAAGAGAAACTAGCGGGTGTTCGTAAGTCAGATTCAGGCGTACTGGGCGCCGACGTGATCCGCAGCGAGTACAGGCTGGCCGTGCCCACGCCCGCGCTGCAACAGCGAGAGATCGTCACGGAGTCTACGGTAAATATTGCCTCTACTTTCAAAGAAGTTTTTGGCTATAATCCAATAAATTAGTGACTAATAAATGAAATGGATTCCTGTGTGTGTTTTCGAATAAATCTTATTATAATATATTTCTGCTGTAGGTATCATCAGCAACATCATACCACACCGCGCTGATTGTGTTAGCAGCCACTTCAGCGTTCATTATCAGCGTACTGTGCGTTTTGGTGATGTTGTACCGAGCACGACTGCAGCGTGAACCTCAAAAGGCTGAGCGATTCCTGCCCCAGGCCCCGCCGGTCTACGTCCTCTCTGCTAACGAGAAAGCAGAACTGGCCAGAGCTTTACACGCACCCAATAATTCTAATGAGGAAAGTGATACTCCGAGAGTATAACCTGTAGCTATCAAAGACATTTACGTTACTCTACTCCATAGACATTTATAGCACTGAATTTTGTTGTTAACCACGAAATAGAACATTCAAAACACGTTTCTGTTCTACGTGACGTGTATCGAGTACTTTATTTTATTATTACCGATTGAAAAGTACAAGAAACGATTTAAATTAAAAAAAACAATAAAAATCGTGCATCTGTCAGTGCAACTCTACTTGTTTATGACTCGCCTTGACGTAGCGTGCTATGGCGCGCAACTTTAAATCTTAGTACAGGTTATAAAAATAAATAGGGTCCAAGTAACTGCTAGAGTTCTGAGTAACGTAGATGAAACTTACAATTGTACATTTCAAATACGGCTATTCGAGTTGTCATTCGATTTCAATTCGATTTGCTACTTGATATAATAAATTAATAATTGTTAAGTTTTATTAGACACCTATTAATAAGTCTTAAATATGAAGTCATTTTTGTCTTCCATCTTTCTACACATTTTGCACAGATTCTTAGCAATAATAGAATAAAATATAAACTTTGAAATATAATTAAAATAGTATGAATGTTGCAATCACTCTCCGTAATTGCTATATGCAATCAGTATATAATATACTTATATAAATCACCTTGTACATACAGTGTGATGCAAAACATCTTTCATACTTATAGTTAATCATTGGTAGTTTAACTTACATTTATGAACTCAAGACACGGAAGTAGAACTTTGGAGATATTGACTGCAAAATATTTGATAAAATCTTATTACTAAAGCCCAGTACTAAAATTAAATAGTTTTCTTATATTAAAGATGGTCCTATAAATTTATAAATTGTCATGTTTTAATTTATTTTGATAAGATAAGAAACTACTGTTCTCTGTTGCAGAATCTACTTTCATGTGTAGAGGTAAAACACTGTCAAAAACATCATATTGGACATTTAATGTAAAGTTTCTAGCATAAAACTTAGGTTCTAGTAGATCTATTTTTAAGACGGCGAAGAGACGTGCGTCGGTAAAATGCGACGAACGCCTTTACGCTTCCTTTAGTTCCTTACGTCCAGCCAAGACTTTTTAATTTGCTAGGGTTTTGTTTGGTTCTTTATAAATTGCAATGGAAGATAAGGCTGGCCGTAAAACTAATCTAGTCTGTTCTTATTCAATACTGTCATTGACCCTTTTGATTTGCTATGTAAATACATTTTTATATTTTAATAAACTGCTTCTTGCAACATTTTTTTTATTTACTTTCTAAATTTGTTTATATTTTTGTGCATTATTCTTCTGACCAATAAATAATTCTACAAATAATGTATTATATTATATTAAAGAATGAATTTACTATATGTATGTTTACTTCCTTTAAATAAATAATTTTATAGAAAAGAAAAAGAATTTTTATTTTGTCTAAAGATGTAATATTTATCATACTAAATTGGGAAACAACTTATCCTAACTGGTAACTATTATATAATATACTTTTAGGACGAGGTATGAGCTTTTATCATAATCTCACAAATGCAGAAGTTCACGTGTATGGATGTTTGTTATTATGTATCTCCAGAATGGCTAAATTGGGCATAGATGTAAAATAACTATATTGGCAACTAAGTTAATGCTGATGCTAATGCTATTTAAGCAATATTTTCGACAAATATTTATGTAAATGTCTTTCAAGTCAACTAGTTTCAGTGCTACAGCCACAACTCATGTAGTTAAGTTAAAAGACCTCAACCAATGATAACAGAAATAATTAAAATTACCTTATTTGATAGATACCTATCAGGGATGTCAGAATGACATTGACATGCCATGTGTCAATGACGACAACAGACAAGTGTATAATTTTTAAATAAAATAATTGCCACAACAAAAATTCCTATGATTTTATCTTTAAAATTACCATATTTTCTGTAGCGGAGATAAGAATTTAATTAAATTTGAAAGTTAAAACGCTTCAAAATAAGTTTAAAACCAAAAGATTTGATACAGTTGCTTGAAACCTAGTATCTAATGCTTAAAACTTTAAATATTTTGGTTTGACGTTTCCTTTTGACTTTGGCAGTTGTTGGGGACCGGCCAGGGATAAGAAATTATTTTAGAATGAATCAAGAAAGCGTACTCGCTTGTTGCGCCGTTTGCAGTGAGAAGACCCATCGCCGATGCGCTCGCTGTCTTAATATTTACTATTGTAATACGGAACACCAACGACAAGATTGGCGCAGACATAAATCCGAGTGTGTTTCGAAGTTACCAAAACAGGCATTGGATAACGTTAACGCTGTCCAACAGTCGTCTCCCACGAAGGAAAAATTTGAGAAAGTAGTTAAGAAAGAGATTATAGTCAGTAAAGAAGAAAGTGAGATTGTAGGACCTACAAATCAACAGGGTAGTGAAGTTAGACAGTTGAAGAAATCGAAAAGAAAAAACGTGAAAAAAGAAGGTAGTGCGGAAACGAATGAAAGTAAACAATTACAAACTTCTAAAAGAGAAGATCAAAGTGTTGAAAGTGGATTAAAAGCTGGACCTTCAGATATAAAAGACAGTGTCATATCTAGTGTAGTGTATACAAATAGAGACTTGACAAAACAGAGTGCCATTATTCACGAGGGTTCTTCAGAGCAGGAAATCCTGAACGAATCCGCTCAACAGCTGAGCACAGTAGACTTTGTGACTGCCACAACTAATGTTTTGAAGACTGTGAATAGAACTAATGCAAAAATGCCACCAATTCCTGTGTATGTTCCTGAAACACATTCTAAAATGAAGGAATACCCTGAAGCGTCGCTAAAGGGTAGTGGGGCGTTTATGATGAATAATTACTATGGTGACACAAGTGATCCTAGTTATGAGATCTGTCAGAGGGTCATCAGAGACATGACACAGTATGGTGTGTGTGTTTTGGACAATTTTCTAGGTAAAGATCGAGGACTGTTGGTGCTAAACGAAGTCCTGGAAATGTACAGATCAGGCATTTTTACCGTAAGTAAACATTATTTTTATTACAAGTTAAAACACAAGTTTAAACAAAAGCTTATAGATTATTTTTTTTATTAAGACATTAAATGGTAATAAAAATTAAATTCTTCATTATACTTTGGAGACAGACATCTTATCTGTAATAAAGGTATTTTATCTATAATTTTTATAAAGATTAAAAATTAATCATTTAATACAAAAACAGATACAAAAATGTGATTGGAAATAATTTTTCATAAATTGATTTATATATTTATTAATATATTACAAAAAAATAACATTTAAATATCATAATTAGATTTATAATATAAATAATAACAATAAGTTTTTAATTTATTTTAAATATAAAAAATAGATATTATTGTAATGAATACTGGCTAGGTATAGATTTTAAACATTTATAACTAGTGTTCAACTGTTAACAGCATATGTTCCATAACAATAAACAATTATGATGAATGATAATTGTGAGATGTGAAGTCAATAACTTATACTTAAGTCAATAACTTATAAACATAACATCAATTACTAATTGTATAATAACTCACTTAACTTATGACGCTGATAGAGATGTATGGAGGAGTAGTACATACTGTGCCGAACCTCGATAGAGATAAGGGCAGGTTGATGATGATGATGATAATAACTCATTGATAACTATTGACCTTGCCTTTTTACTATGGAGTACAGTCCATCGGAATAAGCGAGAAACATGAATTAGCGAGAATAAGATACTCGGGTAAAATAACCTCGTAAAAGTGAAAAATATTGCAGTCCCTTCGTCTCTTGCTTATTCAGGTTTGACTGTGTATGACAAGATATTTAACTGTTATATACTTAAAAGCCTATTATGTCTTAACTATCATAGATATATTTCAAAATATTTAATACTGGCCTTATGTTATAAATGAGGCATTTAAATTTTGCTTTTAAATATTTTAAAGGGTCACCTTGTCTTTGATAATGTAATTAGTGTTATTCTAAAATATTAAAAAATCTTTGGAGAGTCATCCTTTTCACAGTACCTTTTAATATTAGCTGCCAATATTATAAATTACTATCTCTTAAAAATTTCAAAAAAAAATATATTAAAAGTGTTCCTTTTGATGTATGTTTTTACTACATTTTGATCTTTATTTAAGCGACCTTGATACTTTTTCAATACTGTAGTATAATAATTTAATTTAAAACTATTATTAAATTCAACTTTGTTATTATTATAAATATTTAAATGTTTATGCATACATGTAGTATATGTTGTCTGTTGCCAAATAAACAATTGTCACATGGCCAGTTGCCAAGAGCCAGCTGTTCAAACATTGTAAAAATTACGTCATGTATGTAAGAAACCCCTATCTCATCGAGTTTGTTGATTATTTGCGTTCGCAAAAACAGTTTCAGAAGTACTTTTTACAGTCTTTTTCAAAACGGCCAGTTTTGTTTTTTTTTTAATAAAACTCTTTCAAATTATTCAAACTTTCGTGAGACATCATCATAAACTTATATAAAAACGATTAAAACACTAATGTATGTTCGTCCGGTGGCGGCACCGACTATTTTCGAACCAATCGGGGGGAATCTTTATCAGGATGAGTGGGACTTGTATTATATCGCGAATGCGGCCTGTCGCTCACTGAAGGGCTTGATGGGCTCGAATCTAGTCGGTGCCGCCACCGGATGAACATATGTGGTTTTAGCCGTTTTTATATAAGTTTAATAAACGTCTTTGTTTACAAACTGTACAATGTTTCTCGTGCGTATAAAATATGAACCAAACATTGACTACGCTGTCTTGCGGTTTGTTTATGTTTTACTATTTCTAGCGCCGCCACGGTCAATGTCTATCGTTTCTTAACAACGCGTTACAATGTTCTCTTATATTCATTTTCTGTTTCAATGAAATGAAGTTATTTATTATGATTGTCACGACTTTTATATAATATTGATCCAATGTCGATTAAAAGTAGAGGTAACGCTTCTGCAATTGGGGTCTATGGCAGCCGTTCTCTATGTAGACGAATTTAGTTTGCCGCTTGCTCATTCGTCGTGTGGATTAATTTAACTGAAATCTCACCACCAATCAATTTGACTCAAATCAAACCAAATTGAGTCACAAGACGTCGACACAAGACAACCCAATTTTACAGAGTTACTCGTATTTTATAACGAGAGACTGCTTAAAATGTTTTTATGGGTATTGAGGAGACGTAAAGGGAGGATAGTACGAGGAACACTAGCGCGCACCTTTTTCCACTACCACTGGGCGCAGCTGAGCTGATAAACCACGACCCACCATCCGTTCCAAACCCATCCAATCCATCCAAAGTCGACGCATCCGTTCAAGAGTTACATCTCTTATGATCTCTTACGGGATGCAACTATTTTCGTTAGAAGTTTGAATGTACAATTTGTTAATGCTGTTCTTTCAGGCAGGGCAGCTCGTGTCGAGCCCGGGAAGCACGGAGGCGCAGACCATCCGTAGCGACCGCATCACCTGGATAGACGGCAAGGAGCCGCACTGCTTCTACATCAAACAGCTCATCTCACAAGTTAGTTACTACTATTAATATAATACATACAGTTTAAGTTCTAAAGAATTAAGGTCCGTTCACAAAGACCGAGGCGAAAGAGGGCAAATAAAATTGACCTTTAAACTCCATGTGAACCGACCGTTATTCGTCGATTAAGAAGACAAAAACGGGAGGTTTTGAACCCAAAAAATTTACTCCTGATAGAGTTTGGATTTTTGACACATGTAAAAAACGGCTTAGCTATAGTAAACAAGTATGCCTATTTAGCAAGAATGTATCTACCTTTAAAAAAATGGATTAGTTTTTTACATTTCCATGCTCGCCAAGGGCAATCGTTATCTCCACGCAAGCTCTCACAATTAACACCTGCCGCAATGACGCGACTTGCTAATATTTTACTTAGATATATAATTTATTTTAGCAACAACTGTGTATTGTGTTTGGTTGTAATTGCATTGTGTTACGTTTCTTATCGTTTATCGAATAACAAACAAATATAATTGATTTAATATATGAGAAAATGTTACTCAATGTTTGTTCACTTTATAATTTCCATGAGCATTATTTGTGTTGTCGGGATTTCCCCGAAGGCTATTTCATATCAATATTGCAATCCATAGTTTCCATATTCCATAATGATTATAAATGAATATTCCATCATATTTAGTATTAGAATAATTTCTCTATTTTTCTCTGAAAAAACTGACCCAATTAGATCATAGAGGCAAGTCAGTTTTAACAATGGTGGACGCTAGCAATAACATTTATTGCACGAATAGGTTTATAATAGGAAAAGGATAGGAAGGGGAAGTGGATTTGTCGGAGGAGGGATGCAAAGGAAGGGGAAAATTCTCATTCTGTGCATCCCCTCGCCGATTTCAGGCGGCCGATAGCTCGATTGCCACTTTATGATATACTAGCTTTCGCACGCGACTCCGTCCGCGCGGAATTAAAAACAATTAGCCTATGAGTTCTTCCAGATTACCTTCTACATTTATGCCTAATTTCATCAAGATCCATGCAGCTGTTCCGGGGATACCAAAACAAACATCAATCCATCTAAACATTCGCATTTATAATATTAGTAAGATATAAAAACATAATGTCATTATTAACCTCACTTCTCTAAACGCTGTTTAGCAAATATTATACATAAAAATTCTTGAATAACAACTTGTATCCGATACATAGTAAGACTAACGTTTTTTAAACGGTAAATGTTAACGCGATTTTGCAATAACATGTAGGTTAATAAAATACTTTGATATAGTATCGTTTGAGTGCGGATAATGATAGTATTTGGGCGATATCGAGGCGCCAGTGACCGAGTACGTCTTGACCGGTATGTACTCGGCAAGCTAGGTGCATTTCGTATTCTTAATACTTGCATTTGTCTACAGTATGATACATAAAAGTCTTAAGATTGTTAGTTACTCTATATATGTGTGCGTCCAATTCTCATTAAATGCACTGCATTTATTTTTTGTGACCTTTTATATTTCTTGCGATGTTTTGAGAGGTGAATGGATAATTTCACTATCTACTTCTTACTAATATTATAAATTAAACAGATGGATCGGTGGATGGATGTATGTTTGAAGGTATCTGCAGAACGGCTTAACGGATCACGATTAAATTTTGCATGGATGTAGAACATAGTTTGGAAGAACACAGACTTACTTATTAAGTTTTTATTATTCCTCCCGGACGGAGTTGCGGGCGACAGTTAGTTTGTAATAATCTCAGTATCAGACCAATAAGCCAAGTTGATAGTTTGAGTATAATATTATCTGTGCTCTAAACTAAATATTCGTAAAAAAATACCTCTCTATGCAAATAGTTTTGCTATGTTCCTCTCACGGTTACTATTTTTTTCAGGTAGACAAAATAATACTACAGGCGAACAAAATGCCCAACAATGGCAAGATGGGCGACTACGTCATCGACGGCAGGACAAAGGTGAGGTTATAAGTTTCATACTGATACATAAAATATCGATTATTGTAGAATCGAGTAAGAATCTTTCGTCGTATAAAACTCTATGCAGTATTGTTTTTTTAAACCCGGAAAACAGAAAACCTTTTTTTTTAATTATACGGCAATGGAATCCCAGATGACGTTCTGTAACGATAAAGTTATTTATAATTTTTTTTTATTAATTTTATCTGTGCTTGTTGATGAAGTCGAACTATTTCCGACAGTATAAAATAATACTTCTTTCATCTTGATGCAGTTTATAGATATGTGACATTTACTGGATTAAATTTTCCGTACTTATATAGTCGTGCTCGCCTTTTTTTATTAAAAATCGTTTAATGTTTATGAAACTCTTGTACCTATTCATTCGACTTAAATACTCTAACAATAGCTGGATAATAACAGCCAAAAAAAAATTGTCCTAGATATAATGGACATTTTGCGCCGTGGTGCGTAATTTATTAATTAACTCGTACGTAGTCACACAAGTTTTATGCACGTTTATCCTTTAGATGGGGAATTCTCAATTTAATAGCATGTTCTATGTGGTCTATCATTAATTTAACAATTTCTACTAAATATTCATACTAATAAGTTTTGTTAAAAGCGAATGTTGTAAAATAAACCGTTTTTGGCTAAAAATAACATCCGATTTTCCTTTGAGAAACTATCATATTAGACTAGATGCAAAAAAAATAATTGTCACAATCTAAAGTATAGAACAAAAAGTATTTGCAAAGTAAATATGTCGTTAAATTAATTAATAAAAACGGTAACAGATTAGATAATAAAAATAACAATAAATTATACAGATAACAATGTTGCGAAATAAGCGGGTTTCGTTACCGAACGCAACCAATACAATAGCGTTATCTATGGCCCATCACTATCGCATGGCGTCAAGATTCGCGCATCGTTGATAAAATGTCAAAATAAGGCGGGAACGCGCATGCGCGGTCGCGGCGCTGCGTACGTGACTCGCGGCATGGCGCGGCTAGGGGGCCGCGGGGTGCGGGCGGAGGGGCACTGTAAACATTAGTAAGAACTAAGAACGTAGTCCCACGTTACTGCGTCCCATGTTTGCTGTTTGCATCGTAGTTGTTATATTTCGTACCCTCTTTGTGGATTTAATAACATCCTGTGTAATCAATTCGTAGTAAGTTGACAAAACTCTGGCAATCTTATAAAAAGATAATTTAAACATTTACAAAACTGAAGACTTGAGTCGGATGTTTGTGTTTACAATAGTTATTTGAAGACACTTTAGAAGCAAACGGAACTATGCACGACTCCTAATCTCTGAAGACTAACGACACGAGAAATACTAAAAAAAACATACGAATTTATAACCTCCTTCTTTTGAAGTCGGCTGAAAAGCGGGAGGAATGTTGCTGTAACTAAATAATAATCAACAAATATTATTTTTTGGCATTCTGTCCTTGAGCATTTTTCAATAGATAAAATGACGAACAATTTTTCTTTTAATAATTAACATTTCTAAATCGTTAGTCAAATGTTTGACATTCATTGATTTGTTTGATTAGACTGTGTGCACAGAAACATTCAATAGCAGTTAACGGCTAAGAATCGCTTTTCCACAACCGGTTAGTTATGCAATGTTTACATTCACAAATGGACGCAATGCATACGTTATACGCAAAATGACGTGGCACATATGTATCAATATTTTTCATTATAATTTATGCAATTACTACTGCAATAGTTCTATTTCGCAAGGATAACACGTAATGTGTACCTATTGACAAAAAAAAGTTACTGCCTAGCCTAATTTTCGACAATTTGTTGTTTCTTAGACTATGTCTAGCAGTAAGTAGGCAAAGGCTGATGATATTGTGTATCCAATTTAAAACATGATTCTGAGTTCTAAATTATACGAAAGTTTTTGTGATTTAAAAGTAAAAAAAAACTGTCCAGAGCAAAAAAACTATAGCAATTAAGCCACTTTATACTGATCTACCACAATATGCGTTGATCTGGTCAAAGGTCATTCAGTTTCCTCTTTTATTTAAATAATTATAAACAATTTAATTACGTAACTTGAAATATTTATATTACGTCCGTGCATGCGTTACGTACGTTTGATTACGAAACGTTTTTTTGCGTCGGAACTCGAGAGTAAAAAAAGTGTGCCGTTACCCCACATTTTATGAATGGAAGCCCTTCGACCTAGTTGTGAGTCAAATGACCCTACGCACGATCCGTCACGTGCGCACTTTGTCGGTGCCTTGCCCTTAGTTGAGATGAAAGCAGATTCCGTTTCGCTTTCTAACCACGTTGTTATATACACATTTAAAACAGTTGCAGTTAATATTTGTTGAATTTTTAGATATGATTGTATAGATAAAGAAAATATTTTAATTGTAAATTGATTGCGATAATATACTTTCATATTATCATAATTATACGACGTAAATAGGAAACCTTTTTGCAGCGAAATTATTTATGTCCCACTTTGTATATATGGTTATAATTGAAATATGATCAGTAATATCTCTTTTTAATACGCATACGTTAGAAAGGAGACTATCTTACTTTCTTTTTTAGAGAAGGCAGTAAAGAAAATGGCCATAGTGTATTTTGATAGAATCTATTCGTTTATCATTCATTCATTTAACTCGATTCTTTGACTCCCAATATCATAATTGCTTAGCCAGTGAGCCATTACAATTAAAATATACGATAAAAAAAATCTCATTACGACAAATGAATCGTAAAAAAAAAGAAATAAAATTATAGCGTTCAAATAACAATGGTATAAAATAACCGTGAAGTTAACCTTCCTACATACCAGCTGCCAGCCGTGAAATTGGTAAATCGATTATTAAGACGTGCTTTTCTTCCATATTGTTTAAATGACAAAGTAACTCCAAACTCAACCATCTATAAAGGGAGATAAATTTATCTGCAACTCTTCCAACGTGTATATACAGCATTTTATTCAAATAATAGCTATCGCCTGCGAGTCCGTCCGCGCAGACTATATTCTACATTTGTGCCAAATTTCATGAAGATCCGTTGGGCCGTTAATTTCAAACAAACATCCATCCATCCATCCAAACATTCGCATTTATAATATTAGTAAGATAGTGAAGGACTGTGTATATGTGGAATTGCATTACACGTGCATTTCCTGTGACGTTGGCATAATGTAAACAAAATATTTATCATGTTGAACGTAGCCAACAAAGTTAACCGCACTTTATGGTTATTGATGTAGTAATTGACCACATTCGTAACTAGAACGCAACAGTGCAGGGTCGTTTCAAAGACATTTCCGGCCCTTACGGCACGTGCGCACGCCCTTTCGTTTAAATAAAATCGTAAAACGGAACGTAATGTACACGTGTTTGCGCCATAACGATCTTTCAAGATCTTACTTTTTCTTTTACGGCGTTAACCTTGAAATTCTTGGCAGAATTATTTTACCTTATTATTATTTTTAGTGTGACAAGATCGATATTATCAAATTATATTATAACATGGTTAATTTAATAAACTCGTTACGTGTTTTAGCTCATACAAGTCTCTAAAATATTGAGATTAGGCCTTCTTTAACCACGCTCGCTCTGTGCGAATTAGTTAACTTCACACAGCTTTAATTTTTTTGGAATTAGCTTCACTATATTTTCATTTACAAGGTAGGAATTTAATCTGCAGGAGATTACAAGTCCGATGTTTAACCACTACCCCACTTACGCGGAAACATCTGTACAAAGCAATTATTAGAAAAATAGATAAAGAAAACATCTGACAGACAATAAGCCGGTTTCAAAAGTCACTCGCAACCCGTCTGAAACAAGTCAGCAAGTCTCGCCAGGGGAATTTCTTACTCGTGATTATAAATATATGTAGTAATAACGTTTCAATTGCAATCATTGTTGCAAAATATTACTGGTTTTAAATTATCTACCCATAATATTTTTAAGTCTATACCACTGCTAGGCTGACCTTAAGGCATTCTTATTTATATTATTAGCCGAGCAACTTCCCACACAATCTTGAATATTCACAATTTAAATGTTGACTCACATAAATTAAAGCTGAATTCATAACAAGATTTCATACCAGTAAATTTTAATTCCTTGGTTTAGAATTACTGCGCCAAACGCGTATGTGAGCAACGAATAAAATAAATATTATACCATTGTCTTGGTAAACAATTATTTTGGTTCCATAACGATATGTAATTTTGCCAAAATAATTTTGTTTGCGTTCAGAAACCGTCACCGAAATGTAACGTAAAAATTATGACATGTTCAAAGTTTTCCAAGCCGTAGTTACCTATTTCCGAACGTTTTCCTCAATAACACATAAAGGTACATAGTGAAAACAAACCGCGCATTCACATACGTTGTGTCATCGAGTGGATTTGTTTATCTGACAATGAATAGTCATTGTGAATGTCGGGGAAATACTGGTTAGCCAACCAAGATTATTATAGTTATTGCACATATAGGCGAAGAACTTAAAACATATGTGTTAAGTCACCCGCAAAGGGCCAGCGTAATTGACTACGACCTAATCATCTCTAACTTTGGGAAGGCTTTGAACCCTTTGGCGAGGATATATATGAGCTAACGCTATATATTATGGTGAAGATGCTTCTATAAGGACCGACATACACTGATTCAAATTTAAAGCAGACCATCAACCGCGGTTGAAATTATCATTTCGCTAGTAAGCGTTTCAAGGATCCAAATGATTTCAACATGCGACTCTAAGATTATGTGAAGACTATTAAAATATTACTGCAGATTAGTTTATATCTATGCTTGATCTTTGACATGCATATTAACAACGCGTTGCTCACAGACCACCCACGGCGAAGTGAGTTAACATGCGCAAGTATTACGCACGTGACCGGCTTTGAAACTACCTCCTAAACTATCCAGTACGTACTGACAGGCACATTATCCTGTCCTCACCTCACCCTAAAAGGTGCCAGCACCGTTACCGAGCGTTATTTGGGTAAAAATATATTTAAAAGAGTCGGTCTACTAAATGAGGTACAAATAATCATAGAACAGATAGAACACAAAACTTTATAAATTTAAATGTCCTAAATTGCTGTACTTTATAAAAAATAAACCGACTGACTATAAGAATCTGCGGGATTAGGTTATGGAACTGTCAATAACTTTCGATAAGTCACGTGATTGTCGCTTGTCAATACATTTTTGAAGTTCGTTATAGAATCGCTTCGAAGCGAATGTACTTTGTATAACGCCCCTGAATACGAATGGAATGACACTAGACTCATTAAAATCTATTCAGTCGTTTTTCTCAAAGAAAGTTAGAAGTATGCTAATGTTTTTGTATGTATTTCTTCAGTGGAAACTCACTAGAAACATTTCATTCCAACGTTACTGTTGTTGAATTTTTTCTTACGTATGTTGTCGTTTCCGTAAGAGCACTGTTTTGTATTATGTCTTACCGTTTGTAATAACAGCGGTTTTCACAATGCGGCAACGACATCCGTGACGGTAAAAATGTTTCATAATCCTTATACTACGCACAAACGTATCGATTGTTAAGAAATTATATCGCGAATCATGGTCATCCTTCAAGAAAATTGTAATGGAATATTTTATTTTTAAATTAAAACGCATTGTGCGTTTCGCGTGTAGGTATCAAATTCGGAGCTTAAAATGAGGCGGGAAAATTTGCATCACGCACACTTATGACATTTGGCAATCGACTCTCTCGAAACGTCAAACTTGTATTAAACAGTATAAGTTATATATCTATGGGTTATACATGACATTCTAAGTCAATAACTCCATGGTATTTATACTAATTTAACACGGTTTTAATCTTTTTGCAGGCGATGGTGGCGTGTTACCCCGGCTCGGGCAGCCACTACGTGAAACACGTCGACAACCCCAACAAGGACGGGCGCTGCATCACCGCCATATACTACCTCAACCTTGACTGGGATATCAAACGCTGCGGAGGACTCTTGAGGTAAGAATACAAGGAAAGATGAAGTAGACTGAGAGATGAACACGCGAAGTATTCTTTTGATGTTATATGATTTATATTTATCATCCTGTATCTACTTGACATAAATCTTGATACCAATGGACTTTACTACTATCTAAACATTGTGGGCATAAAAAAAAACAAAGAAGATAGGAAAAAAGAAGGGAACTGAACCAGAGACACTTCGTGAAGCAAAAATATATTCCGAAAAGTTGCAGTACATCCCCTTTTAGTCTTTTGTTCATATTAATGTGTGTATAACATGTAACTTACAGGGTTTTCCCCGAGGGTACGAATCAGGTGGCGGATATTGCGCCTATTTTCGACCGCATGTTGTTCTTCTGGTCCGACCGCCGTAACCCACACGAGGTGCAGCCCGCATACAGCACCAGGTAATTGTTACACAGCCAAGCTTATTTAAGCAGTAGCCTAGCAGCTAGCTATTTGAAACCGTTAAACAAAGCAATTTCTAAATAAAAGTCAAATGTCCATATTAAATATTAATAAGTTAACTGTCAGTTAATATACCATTGAGTCTGTTACGTTTTTGTTCGATTGACAAAAATTAAAGCAAAGGAATTAACAAGTGGCGTAGTACAAGAAATAATATAATAAAAGCTTAACCTGACTTATGAGTCCAAAAGTCGCCATTTAGCATCTTAAAACAATCTCAAGAAATTTAATTTAGTCCATGATTGTTTTATTATTAATCATTGTTAACTTGTACTCGTGTAAAAACTTAAATTACTTTTGTTTGTTAGGAAGAAAATTCGACACTGCCGGTGTAGTGGCACAGGACTAGCCTTACTAAAATAAAGATGTTTATGTCCCCTCACTAATCACTCTGACACTTGTCTTTGTAATGAAAACGCGCCATTCGCGCCAAAGGATTGTAATTAGAAATGTCGTAAGATGTTAAATATTTTATGACCTGATAATATGTTTATAATATAATACATTAATGTTTCAGATATGCAATAACATTATGGTACTTCGACGCGCAGGAGAGAGCGGAGGCACTCAGACACTATAGTGAGTGTTGACACTTAATTAAAACACCTTTTATATGATAAGTTTATCAAGTGCTCTATTACAATACAGTTTATATTACGTATCATTGCTAAAAATTTTCAACAGTCTTAGATTCGTAATCTAACTTTCAAATAGTTTGGCATATTACGCTAAATGTTTTTTCACATAAGAAATAATTACGGTACGAATTCGCTAATACTCTAGCCGATATATAAAAAACCTTTATATATTTCCAATTGGGTTTTTCCCATTGGGCCGATCGATCCAACGCGAAACAGCCTTTATGTCACTCTGAAGTAGTAAAATACCTTACCTCATTTTACATTTTTTTTTATTCTTGGACATAATTCATCTGTGTTTTTATTCTTATATAAGCTGTCGGACGCTACTCCATCTGCGCGAAATTAAAAAAAAAACTTACATAAGTAGCCTATGTGTTCTTACTATGTTCTACATCTGTGCCAAATTTTAAAGAAAATCCGTTCAGCTTCGGAGATATCTTTAAAAAAACATCCATTTATTTATCCATCCAAATATTTACATCTTATCTATTATATATATAAAAGAAAGTCGTGTTACACTATTCATAACTCAAGAACGGCTTTACCGATATGCCTGAAAATTGGTGAGGAGGTAGCTTAGAGCCAGGAGACGGACATAAAATACTATTTATTCATTTTTTTTTAATTTATGCCTTGAAGAGCTGCTTTTTATTTAATTAACTGATATAAATGAGTGGGTGGGCTACACTAATTAAGTCTTTTTATATATCCACGCTCACGGAGTCGCGGGCGACAGCTAGTTTATAATATAAGTAAGATAAGATTTTGTTAAGTAATTTTTTTTTTTTTTTCAGAAGAACGCGGTCAGCCATCCTCTAGCAAGTGACGGCGGTTGATAACAGTCGGTGCGATCGCTAAGTTTATGTCATAGTATTATGTATGATAACATACATACAACACATATACTCCTGTTAATTCTCGACAAATATCATATAACATCTGTATATGAATTCAAAATAACTCTTAATAACTATCTTTATGAAGTTATTTTTATGTTTCGAGAATTTACAGGATTTTTATTCTTTTATGGACCTAGTCAATGTTTTGACGTTAAGATGCGGTGACCATTTATATATTTGTCGCAATTTAAATTTGTTGCTATTTAATTTCACTGCTAGGGTTGTTTAAAGGTCAATCAAAGAGTCCCTTTGTGTTAGCAGTAAACGACTTAGTTGTAGTTAAAAATGCTTGAAATCGACGAAACTGAAACTAGACGGTTAAATTTAATGTGGTCGAATTCTTTTTTTACTATTACTATAGTACAAGGATATCTGGCCTGGTGAGGAAGACGCTACTATACTTGGGTAAAAAAGAAAAAGATCACAGCTATGGTACAAAAAGGATCTTGTAACACTTTTTGACATTGACAGGGGGGCGTTAGTGAGCTGTCATTATTTAGTTTTTCTTATTATTGTGGACATATAGATATCCTTGTCGGTTTATGATTTACGGCCGAAGTAAGGCGAATGTCAAAGCGACCACTAGTCTAATTTTTATATTTTGATGTTACGTAATTGCGTACTATATGATTTAATATTACGTTAATTATTTGATACAAATGGCAACACGTGTATTAAGTTTGTAACTTAGAGGAATTACTTATATTTTTATTTTTATTTCATAAGGTGGCAAACGAGCGAGGCCACCTGATATCGCTGAAATAGCGAAGTGACCGTTGCCCATAGACATAGACAATTGCATAAACGTTGCCTACCTTCAATCGACGGAGATGATGCACAGAAAGAAAAGATTTTCCCTTTTCATGCATCCTCTTATCCGGAAAGTCCACTTCCACTTCCCATCCTATTTTTCCTACAACCAATCCTATCTTTTTATGAAATATTCTTTTGACTTACTGACGTCTTTACGTCTTTTTTTATTGTCTTTCATATATGTTTTATATGCAATAATATTACTATGATTTGTAATAAAGCTTTCAGTCATGATTATAAACATATTTTAAAATGAACAGCTTGGGGAATTCCAAGTAAAAAACAGGCAACAAAAGGCGATCACTCTATAAGTAATTCCCCTAATGTTTGTAATTGCGTTTTGAACGCCACAAAAAAGTATTATTTATCGTTGGTTTCTGAAACAAAAATCTCCGTAAAAACCATATCCTTATCTCTCATTATCTTCAACAATATAGAGATAACATTACCTTTTAAATGGTGATTTTGGTCTCTGAAACCCAATTAGTACTCGGCATTTAAGTTGGCCCGTGGGTAACTAGAGTACTCATCTGTCCGAGGTGCCAAGTGCTCATTGTACGCCATTTTAATATTTTCACACAATTCTTTATTCACTATGGTTCGCTAATGGTATTATTAGTGATTATATTTTATTTTGTAAAATGTATTTAAATTTTTGCTCTTTTTGACATCAAACTTTGACAATCTAAAATGTTTATTTAATAAAAAATACAAATTAATATTTATTTTACTTTCTTCTTTAAGTGCAATAGATAATTCTTTTTTTCTTTTTATATTTCCAAATTACTATTTGTTGTCAGTTTTTGTTATTTTTATCTATTTTTCTAACATTAGCGACCATTGTCGGACAAGATTGAAGTCATTACAAATCCATATGCATCTGTTCAGACGTCTTGTCTATGTATAGCTCTATTTATTTATATATTTAGTCATTCACAGCCACGAATTATATATAAGGTGCAAATGTTTTAACAAAGTTAATTTGCCAAACTATTTTTTTCTCGTAGACCAATTTCACTGATTTTAGTATATAAGTTACTACATTTCTTATTCAACTTATGATGTATAAATGAACATAAATATACATACATCTTGTTTTATGTATGTGTAATCTGTTCTATACATTTTTTTATATTTAATTCAGTATTAATTGTAACTTTTTAATTAACAAATGAACTTTCTCGAAACATATGCATCATTTTAATGTCTAGTTATTGAAATTAATTTGCTGTAAATATCACTATGTAACACAAGGATAATATAGAAATTATTTACTGAGAGCAATTTGTAAAAAATAAGTATTGAATTTTATACAAAGTAGATAGATTTTGTTAATTCTTACCATCGATTTCCATTGTCGTAATACTCGTATAAAACAATTTATCTAGATAAAAACCTAAGATAACATGTTTTTAGGGATGTTCCGGAAATGGAAACGCTTGGTTAGTATAAGTGTGCGTCGCGAAAGCGGCGTGTTATTTAAACTTGTGATGTTACTCGTTATTTAAGCACATGCATTTTGTATTTAAAATTCAATAGACCATTGACGGAATGCGTTCTAAATTGTAAACAAAGCTAACAGGTAATTTTATTCGATTTAAAATGTAAATGTATTATTGAAATTCAATTTTGTTTTCTGATATCTGCAAAAGGTTTTTGGTCCTACATCCGACACTATTTGTAATTGCTAAATCCTTTTTGTTGTGACGAACGCATTTCGTGAATGTAATTTTCGCAAACGACTGTAATAAACATTTTTTTACTAAAAACCTTCATGATCTTTCAATTTATTTTGATTCTATGTCAAAGAAATTAAATGCACAACCGTAAACAATAGCATGATTAGTAATAAATGAAATCGATTAATTTTAATCGAGACAATCGATTTGAAACGAATTCGTAAATACTGTTTTTATCGATTAGAATATCAAACAGTGACACGCAGCTGATATTCCTATTAAGTGTTATTAAACCAAAATAAAAAACTCAAAGACTACAACAAAAGCTTTATTCCTTTGAAATACTTTTGCCTTCTTTAATTTAATTACATGACAGCTAATTTTCTTTTTATCCTCTATTTCTTCTTCGGTGGTGGTTTCTTCTTGACCTCCTTGAAAGGTCCGAGCTTCTGTCTGACAAGGAGTCCCCTCCACCAGGCTTGCACCACCACTGCTGCGTTGAACATTTTCTCGCGGTACTGGCGCGCCTTTTCCCGCTCCTCTTTGAAGTTCACCCAGTCCTTCATCAGCTTGTCGTGTTTCTCCAACTGGAAGGAGATGGCTATGTAAAGACTGCTCGATGGGCCATTTAGACAAAGAGAAGGAATAACCGATGCGTAAGATTTTATCAAAATGCACATTATTATTGATAAAAAAACAATTGATATTGGTTGACATTTAATAAAAAAAAACATACCGTGTCTTCGAGTTTCTGTCTGTTCTCTAGCGTGGTTTCATAATCGGACCTCTTGATCTGGATCTTCAGGTCTATGCCCTCCATGTCCGTATCGTACTTGTTCATCCAACTCTCCACCTTCTCTAAAGTTTCCTATATTGGAAACACACTCTTTTGTAAAGGTAAAAGATATTTCTGATTTCTACAGCACAATTACAGGATCGACTCTCAAAGAATATAATCACAACATAGTGTACCAATGTTTCGGGAGTACAACAAATTTCAAGATTTTCGCTTATGCGAAATGCTTTTTATGCTAACTTCATACAATGTAGAACACCAAGCCAGTAGCAAGTGCAATATTCATATAATAGCTGTCATTGCTTACATTGATGATAATATTGTTAAGAAGCTCGAACTCCGTGTGCACACGCTGTTCATGGTCCAGTCGTTGCTTGTGCGTCTCTATCTCGGAGGCAGGCGGGCGCTCGCGATCCGCGATGCTCTGCTCATGCTGCTCCGTCCGCGCCCGCTGCCAGTTCACGATATACCGGGTCTGGATCTCCGCATTCAGTGCTGCATCCTAAAAAAATGTACACAAAAGGCAAAGGAACATCGAGTCGAAGGATCAAACTTTTTGATTCATAATCCCCTGCCCTTTAATACTTACTTCTACTTGAGTTTTGAGTTTGTCAATCACCACGTCTGTGTCGTAGGTTACGGTCTTTACATGCACGCGCTGTTGACGAATCTGTCTATTCAAGTCTCGACGAGTTCTAGAAGAGGACCAAATATAGATGTATTTTGTAACTGAACGTGATTGCTGAAATATTGAAGACTTGGGTCAGTAAGTTTATAACTAACGCTCTATTCCTAGCTTCATCTTCTAGCAGCGTCAGGTAATATTCCTCACGCTCCACCATGCGGGCAGAGTGCTCAACCAGGGACTTGAAGTCGCGCTCCAGCGACAGGTCTGCATATGTTGACGTTAAGACGTCTAAAAGAAAGTTTCTGTAAAATGGATTTTTAGGTTAAAGCCAGGTTTAAAGATGTAAGAAAGCTATTATACATAGTAAAGTACAAATATAAATTAATTTAACCTGTCCGCTTCAAGCTTGTCCAGTTTGTACTCTTCACGGCCCAGATCATTGGGATTGATCTTCCCTAAAGGATCGATGTTCTGCGCCGGAGGAACAGAAAACTTTATTGCTAACAGATCGCCCATATCCGCCATCGCTTTTGCCACACGCAAGGCGTTATTGCACTGTGCTAAGTGAGTAAGAAATTATTAACGTCCTCCAAGAAAGCAAAAGAATAAGTGACGAGAAATTTTTAAGCAATAAATCCGATTATTAATGTTTCTCACCAAGGATACGCATTGTTGTAATTGAATCTTCTAAAATAGTTGCAAACAAACAAGCAGTTGTAAACGGCAGCCTAAAAAAGTTTAAAATGTACATACTTGAGTAGGAAAATTAAAAATCCCAGTTGTGCTCATGTGAGAATTTTGTTTAGACTTACTCGTCCGCATTTTTATTAAAATTCCCTTCGCCTTCACTATCCTAAAAGTTAAGAAAATATCAGTAATATTGTTTATGTAAAAGTGTTGTGAGATTTCAATTATCCAAGATTGACCTCTTCTATTTTATTTGTTCTTGATTGACTAAGTACATTTGATTTGATTTTTACAACATTAATTACATCCCAATCCTCCATGTCGTTACTTGAACCCCTTCTATTATAAGGGTTCATATTAAAATAAAATCATATGATTTAACTGAATTAGTACTAAAATTCTTAATTAAAATAATAAAATTGACAAATAATCAAAAATCTTGTCACTTGTATAGGTTTCAAAGTTGAAACACGTCAACTTAAAAGCTTTATTTTTTAAAAAAAAGTAGTCACACGAAAATCGAGTACAATTGTGTAACGATAACAGTTCTTCATGTATCGATTTATTGCAATCGGTTCTCCACATCACTACCTCCACCCTCACTATTCGTAAACGTCAATTACGTCACGTGACTTTTTTGCCCAATCAAAGATCAGTTTTGATTTGGTTTAAAAAACTAACTTCATGAAGGTAACATCGAGTTACATTTTAGGCTTTGTTTACCAGTTTTATTATGCCTGAAAAAGAAAAGGTGAGTTTGGAAATTTAGTGCACCATAAAAATCAAACAGGAAGTATATTACAGTTAATGATAGTGCAAAATCGGTGGAAACACAAGTGTTCGGCATTTGAGATACGCTACTCGTAAACTAGTATTATGGCATGCCATGTCAGTTCGGTTATGGTATGTGTTTCTGCATAATTTACGCGTGTAATATCGTCGTTTATTTGTGAATCGCGCCAAATATTAGTGGTGTGAAAGTTTTAGTGAGAACTATTTTTCACAGGAGGCGATGAAGACTAAAATTGATAAAAACAAAAACGGAGACACTGAAACTGAGGTGAGTTGTTTATAATCGTAATTTATTCAGTTTTAGTCTTTCCAACATATCATTTAGGAACTATGCTATTTTTTAAAATACAAATAGTTCCGTACAAAAATTGCTGTCATTTACATAAACATAGTCTTTTATGTAACTGTAAAAAAATTAAGTATCTATAAATTATGCTACTTTTGATGGTTAAGGTTCTTTTTTTTATTTTAGATAGTTTTTATGTAAGTGTACGACTTCTACAAGTAACAATTATATGTCACTATGCAATCATCATTTAAATTACATTTTATTACATAAATTGCAAATTTTTCCTAATTATATTTTTCAGTAGTTCTTGCTTACTAGTGTTACTAATTAGTATTCAGAATATTACTTATCTATATTGTAATTTTAAATTTTTAATCATATATCTTGAATGGTTTTTATTATCTGTTGTTTTATTTATTCGTCACTATTTACTATGTGTTTATGTATTATTGAAAACATAAAAAAATGAAAAATCAAACTGCAACAAACAATGAAATATATCACAACAATAATTACATAATCATACTGTCCATTCAGGGTATCGTATGTACTCTCTTATTTCATTTCAATATTGGGATTCATTACAATTGAATTTTTAAAACAGGTTACATTGTTGAATTGAGTGCTTAAGTGATGTACAAAAGTAGTGCCCAAAGACATAGGTGACTGCCAAGTTTCACATGAAGGTGTTGAGGATATAGCCAAATGGAATAGATTAATTAGGAAACCCTAAACCACCATGATATACAAGCTAGGCAAAGAGAGAGAGAGTGCTTATGTAATGCTAATAGTACAGCTTCAAAAAATCCAGTTTTAAGTTCCCTTGAACCTATTTAATTACGAGAAGAAGTGCATAAACTTTATGTAATGAATATTTTTAGTAAAAGATTTCTTTCATTACAAATTATGGTTGAATTTTATCCAATGGGAATGGAGTTATTGAATTCAATTGTTAAAAGTTTATAGATTGTTTACAACAATATAATTCTTTCTCTAAATGTTATCAGCATGTCTAATCAAGTGAAAAATAATATAATACAAAGTCAAGTAAGTGATGTAACTAATTAATATTATGGTAGACTTATGAAATTGTTCTAGAAAGTTCAAAAAATTATGTTCAAGTTATAATTATCAATAGTAAGCATTTTGTTATAATGTATCAGTGAAGTGCCTAAGTCTTGGGTTTCATTTTATCAATAGTTAAGTGAAATGATTACTAAAAGAGTATTTTTACTTTTACTTTTTCTTCTAGCTCTACAGCCCTTTGTGGGCCTTGGCTTGGTTCAGCAACTTTTTCCACCCCGGTCTATCTATGGCCATGGACTTCCAATCTATGCCCACTTTTTTTGCGTCCTTATTTACGCCGTCTATCCATCGGAGCTTTGGTCTCCCTCGACTTCGATGACCTTCGGGATTACTCGCCATAACACTCTTAGGGACTCTGGCTTCGTCCATCCACTCCATGTGGCCGGCCCATCTAAGCCTGTTTAATTACTTTTACTAATAAAGGAAATTAATTCAAAGTTAATACTAATTTTTATTGAACATGATTTGGTTAGTTGCCTCATACCAAATATTTTTATGACACACCTTTATATTGACCTTCCAATGCTAATTATAGATATTGATAATGGGACTGGTTAAGGATTACGCTTTAGTTTTTAAAGTAACTCTGAGTTTTAGCATAGGTTTCTGTTCAAAATTCCAGTTTAAAATATATTATCTCTTTGTTTTGTCAAAGATAAAAATCAGGGATGAAAATATTTGGACTCAGAAACCTACGGTAAGTTAGTTACATTAATAGTTTATTATACTTTTTTTTAATGGTAAACTATAGATTGTGCAAGTTGTTATTAATTAAAAAAAAATTTATTTGAAATTTATATTATTTTCATTAAAGTGCATACAGCAGCGAATTAATTGGTAACGGTGCGCATATTTGATTTGATTGTTTTGCTGCAAGCGTTGACACAAATCCGCACCGCGTAATTGCAGACGATGCGTAGTTAACGCGAATTATATTGCACAATCGATAGCATTGATGTAAACAGGAATATTGAACCTTATTCCCTTGTTATAAAGAGTATAAGCTATCACCGATGTGTCAATAGTGTAAGTTTACTGTAAACATTGTTTTGGCACTCGTATAACGTATCATACAAAACAGTGTTTGCGAAGCGACGCGTGCGTACGAACGCAACGTACGGTTTAATATTAGAATATTTACTAAGTATTCGTAAATATCAATATTCGTTTCGTTATTACTGGAATATTCATATTAGTGTTGTGTATAGGTATTTCCTTAATGTTCGCATAAAGTAAGAATAAATATTTTAGCGATACGATTCTGGGAAGTGGGAGTTTTGTATTACATTCCTCTATAATTATAGAATTATTATGATTACTTTGTAAAATACATTTTAATATGTAATAACTTTGTAAATATTTTGTAAAAATATTTAGTTAAATGTTTACTTTAAAGTTATCAAGTATTTTGTCGTAAGTGAATACTGTTATCTTGAGTTATAAAATATCATTTATAGTGGGTTTCTTAGACATAAATCCCAGATTAAAACATATTGATATCTCTGTTTTGTCAAAGTTTTTTGAAAGATAATGACAGAGAGGGATGACATGTTTTGTAAAGATTTTGGTTTCCGAAACCTATGGGTACAACATTCTTATTAATCAGTTCTTTACTTCAAAGTTTATTATTTTAATTCTAAATATGGGATCGTGTTTTTTTAGCCGGTCTTTAGATTTACGCGTTCCAAATGAAGTAAGAAAAAAACGTGTAACGTGTGTAAACGTACTTTAAAGGAGGGACCGCGTTGCATTCACTTTTTGCAAAGCACACAATTTGCAATTGACTCATTGGAACACGTGAAGGTATTTTTGAATAGTAGGGCATATCTTAACCCGACTTAAAGACAGCGTAAATTACTTTTAACAGGTTCTCTACTAATATTTTGCCTTTCAAAATCTTTTTTCTTATGAAAACGGTAATTTTTCCGTTCTATAGATATTGGAATGTGAAAATCATTACTATGTGAGGAACGTTACGTAACTTTCTGCGTTTGTGTTTAAAAATAAATTAATAAACGCCAAGCCCAGTGTCATTACTTATATTTTTAATTTACCATTGGATCATTAAAATTTATATTGGAGGATAATCGTTCAATAAATAAGAAACATATTTTCAAGACAATTAATTTATTGTAATAAATAATGCGTTTTGTGTCGTATTAAACAATCTTTGAAATATAAAACGAGGTAATAAAAGTTTCAGAGCCATATTCCTCTTTAGTCCAAGTTCAACAAATGTGTCCAACAATCTGACTACGTAATGGTATCTTCTCGATCAATGACCTCTATCATATAATCTATTTATTATTGGTTTCTGAGACTAAAATCATATTTAAAAGATGTCTGATTTTAGAGATTGTTGTGGTGGCCTTTGGCTTGGAAGAAATCTGAAAATACATATTATAGTATGTTTCTCATTTAGTTTATGAAATTGTGTTAAAAAGTAGTATATATATTACTGTTATTAAATAGTATCAGTTGTCCGTGACTTTGGCCGGAAAGAAAAAAAATCAGCCTATGTCATCCAGGGATAGTGCAGCTTTCCAACAGTGAAAGAATTTTCCAAATCGGTTCAGTAGTTTCAATGGAAACAAAGGAACAAACAATAAAATCTTTCTTTTTTATAATATTAGTAAGGATAAGCGTATTGCATACGCAAACCAACCCGCACTGGGCCAGCGTGGTTGACTATGGCCTAGTCACCCCTAACATAGGGTAGGCTCTGAGACTTGGGCCGCGGATGAGAGCGAAATTGTACCCGTGGCCCCGTCGCGATGCGTTGGAGAAACAGAGAGGTTTAGTGGGTATGCCTCCGTTATGGAGGAGAATCCCACATAACTACCGCGTCCCCCCCGGGGCGCGGAGTATGCATAAAGCATTTGTCTCTGTAAAAAAAAGAGCTCTGATCCCCTCAATGGGAATGTATAGTGAGCTGATAATGATATACGCATACCTTTTAATAATGCTTAAGTAAAACAAGTTGTAGTATGTGTAACTAAGCACTAATAGTACTTTTATGAGGTTCGGAAACACATCCAATTAGCAGGCGAGCGCAAATTGAGACACTCCTCGTTTTGCACACCTTTGTTATTTCAATATCATTTATTTTATTTTCCGAGAACTCTACGGACGAATAAGCGTGGACGAAGAATTATATGAAAGCCTTTCGTTTGGCTATACTAATTGCTAATATATAGTAATGAAGAAATCAAATTAGTCATTAACTCATAGGACTCTTCCAAATTTTACGGGTTTGGGTAAACTACTGCATTTTATTTCTTTACTAGTGTACCCCCGTGAGACCACCTGGACAGCTTTGGTAATCACAGGTCTAAAGATTTATAACCATACTAACTTACGACCGCGAATCTGTTTGCGTGGAGTTAATAAAAGACTTTGTGCTACATCTATACCAAATTTCAGCGATATCTATGCTGCCATTCTGGACATACCTTCCAAGGAACATATGGATGAATGGCCATCAAAACTTTCGTATTTATAATATTAGTAAGAAGTAAGATGAGATACATCTTTTTAAATTTTACGTGGAAAGTTAGCAGTCTGCGAGCCTACGGTCGCTTTAGCGGTAAAGTCAACGGTATTGTGGCACCTCGTACATAAATTGCGAAAACAATCCACAAATGACGACTTCATTCCGATAAAAATGTACATTTGGAATTAAAACCACAAATCCACAATGTACTGCCATAAAATTCTAGATGCACTCCTTTTCTAACATCTTGTAAGACAAAATTATTATTGTCTCTTATTTAATGGAATTTTATTCACCAGTCTGACATATTTGCATGTGAATCGTGTTAAAATGTACAAAATAATATAGCTAAAAACAGTATTATCGTTGGTACGATTGGCACAACGATCGAATTAATCAATCCATAGAATCAATAAAAAAACTATCCCTTTTGAATTAAGAGTTAACTAAAAATATATGGAAAATAGCATGGCAATCCACAACCGCACGGTTTGCGCGAAACTTCCTGCCTCGCACAGCAGCGTTGTGGAATGGTCTGTCCTCGGCAGTATTTCCAAACCGCTACGATTTAGGGTCCTTCAAGAAGCGAGCTTATCACTATCTCAAAGGCCGACAACGCATCTGCGGTTCCTCTGGTATTGCTGATGTCCATGGGCATCGTTGAACACCTCGGTGTTCCCGCGGCTCGTTTTCCCGCTGTTGTTTTAATTTTGTAAGTCTACTATGAAACAAGGTCAATTGAAACAAGAAAACATTTTACGAATGTTGATTGTTATAATTTGGGATGAAGGTTGAATGAGGGTTGTCCCCGTGGTTACTTAATGATCAATTATTCAATTGTGCACATGATAAATACGCAAGGGTTGCCTTGTACCCACGCTTTGTGCGCTTATTGAAAAAATATTTTTAATTTCAAAACTATACGGGTTATATATAAACGCAATCAAGGCAGTATCAACCAAGTTATGGGTACTAGACAATGGATGATAGTACTTTTAAGTGCGCGAAAGAAATTTATTTCTCCAAACGTTCAATATGGTTCAGACGATCCTTAACGGATCTAGGAGCATTAATTTTTAAATTAATTGTTGGAGAAACACTTTAACGACACCAAATTCTTGAAACTCCACTACGCTGATACTTTTATTAAAACATTTTAACGTATTCAGTATGACAATATGCAAGTGTTTCGAGAGTGGAAACTCACAGAAAGTCAGATGTCGTGTATTAGCTACTAGAGATATCTGCCACGTTCTTAAATAATTAGATGCGTTTTATTTAAATAACCTTATTAGTGGTAAAATATGTAATTACCTTGCAAGAGGCCTCAGAGTTTCGTAATGATGCGGTTTTCGCATTTGCCTTGAGTTTCTATTTGCGATAACGTAGCACCGACTTGTTTTAGGCAGATACCTCGTTGAATCGCGCTGCATACATTTGTGAGTTTTAAAGTGGATTATTTCTTTCGAAACATCTATAAAACTATTATGTCTCAGTATTTCTAGAACGAATAAAAGCCAAGACAATAAGTTTTTGTACAAATTTTTCGGCAGTGGGGACACATGAAAACATACAGTGGAGGTTGTGGGTGGTAAAATCCGGATCCGGTTATCGAAAACTGGTAATTCGTGCAATTTTTCCGATGCCAGCCCATTTAAACCTTTCTTTTACTTTTTTTCGCACTGACAAAGTCGCAGGCGACCGCTAGTATTACTTAAAAATATACCCTTATTGTACATATATAGGAATTTTGTGGGAAATAATGAAATTAAAAGCTAATTGTCTAATATTATGATATAATTATAGTTGTTATATTGTGTCAATAGATGGCGTTCCGTGTTTCTAGATCGCGATATCGACTTACGCGTTATATGTATCGACCTGACACAAAGATTTTATTAAATTTTACTCGCACCACTATAAACCTTGTGACTTCTCCATTCAACTCCAGTGAGAAGGAGACCTTTTTGAGATTGCTTTACATGATCCTTCGAGCCGGATAATATAATGCTCAAACCGTACCTGCTTGTAATCAGTTTATATGACATATTTAAGTAATTTGTATTGTCCATAATACTATAATTGTTGAATGTTTTAATCCACATTATATCTAGAATATACAAATATAAAAGTGAAGCTGTGATCCTTGGCTACGATCTCTGGAGATTAACCTTAATTTACATCTTAATTGATAAAGATCACACAATGCCTTTGTTCGTAATGATAAGAGGTCTTTTGCATCTCGTCCTCGATCTTCTCTTTGGACGTAATGCCTTTATTGTTATCCTTGACTTTTGTTTTTAAGAGTAGAGTTTACTTTGTGTACTGAAGCCTTCGCACAACATTGTCATGTATCTGTTCATATCGAAACGCTTTTAAAACGCGGCGCTTTTTTAACGCGACGTTTTTTTATTGCGACAAGAGTGATTTTGAACTGTTTATATCTGTGTTTTAACGCGGCGTAAAAAGCGCAACTTTTTGTTCAGTAATATAGTTTTATAGTTATTGCGTATCTTTTTTCTTTGTTTTAAGAATACTACGGCTTTTTATTCATCCCTAGAATAAATTGATATTCCGGCAAATTAAGTAGGCGTTTTCATCTAACATTACTCATTATTAGCTTTATGGGTATTATAGTATTTATGCATTTTTTATAAATAAAAGCTTAATCCAATTAAACTTGCAATTTGAAAGTAGCCAATAACTGTGAAGTCAACCAACCTGCACTGGGCCAGCGTG